CACAGCATTAAGGCATTTAAAATTGCAGCAGTATCCCCTCCAACTCAGTAAAGGTAAAGGGACCCCTGACCATTAAGTCCAGTCGTGGCTGAATCTGGGGTTGCGGTGCTCATCTTGCTTTATTGGCCAAGGGAGCCGGCGTACAGCTTCTGGGTGATGTGGCCAGCGTGACTAAGCCGCTTCTGGCAAACCAGAACGGAAACACCGGAATGGTACCTATTTATCTACTTACACTTTGACGTGCTTTCGAAATGCTAGGTTGGCAGGAGCAGGAACCGAGCAACAGGAACTCACCCGTGGTGGGGATTCGAACCGCCGACCTTCTGATCATCAAGCCCTAGGCTCTGTGGTTTAACCCAGCAGAACCCCTTTAAAAAGCAAGCTACTAAGATAAAGTTTCTGAAAGCTAGAGGTGTGTCGTTTACCATTTCATTTCAATGGTTTTGCCACAAAGTGGAAAAAATATCTTCAGTCCACTCCTGCCATCGAGAAATATATCCATATACTTCTTTAGGAGACTGCAGAAGAAAATAAATTATTTTAAGAGCATATCTTATTTTTACTGACTGAGTATACAAGTGGAACATAATCATAGCTAGTGAGGGGAAAGTTTAATTCTTTAACCACTGCAACTATTGCAAAGGACAGCTTCAAACAAACAATAAATGAAACCATCCAGGTTACTACAACTACGACTACTATGACTAATATTTAAATGCCACCCATATGACTTGAGTCATCCCAGCCACTCTGGGCAGCACCCAACAAAATATTAAAACATAATATTAAAAACATAATACAACATCAGACATTAGTGCCCCTCTGCCTCTCACGCTCCATCAGACATTAAAAACTTCCCTGTGGTTGGAGAACTACAGCCAGTTGGGCAGGGTATAAAAAATAAAATAAAAATTATTATATAGGGCTGCCTTCAGATGGCTTCTAAAAATCAAATAGTTGTTTATTTCCTTAATATGTGATGGGAGGGTGTTTAACTGGGCAGGCACCACTACCAAGAAGAAGAACTCTGCTTGGTTCTCTGGAACTGCCAGAAGACCTTTGGAGCTGGACGTTGGTGTCTGGGCTGAATGATGGGGGTGGAGAGGCTCTATCAGGTATACAGGACCGAGGTCGTTTCAGGCTTTAAAGGTCACCACCAACACTTTGAATTGTGCTTGGAAACAAGGATTGCATTTGTGCAATTGGGCTATTAGGAGAACACATTGCAACTATACTTGGGACACTCTGGAACAGGGGTGAACACAAGCACAGGAAGGTGATTTGAACTGAGCCAGACCATTGGTTTGTTTGGCTTAGTATTGTCTACACTGACTGGCAGCAGTTTTCCAGGTTTTTAGGCAGCCCTAACTCTAGATGCCAAGCATTCAACTTGGGAGCTTTATGCATGTAAAGAAGCTCCTCTACTGTGTGTGTTCTACTGATAGACCTCTCTGTGGTTTGTGATAGATTGGCATGAGTTCCTGACTTCTAATCATTTAATAATAGCAACAACAAAACTTTTTATTATTATTTTCTGAATGAGCCTGCTGATGTTATTGTTGTATATAAAAAAGGAAAAGTCGGGAGTTGATTTTTGTTCAACAGGGGTGTGGGTGTGTGTGGGTGAGAGAGAGAGAGAGAGAGAGAGAGATGAGAGGGAGAAAAGGAGGGAGGGAAAGGAAGGGATGTGTGATATATGAGAGAAAGAGAAAGATATACAAAGAGAAAGATATACAAACAGAAAGAGGCAGATATAAATGTATGGCTGTGTATATGTGTGAGAACCATGAGTATGAGCACATGGGTGAGAAATGGACACACAGAGAGAGAAGCAGAGATGAATGTGTGCCTATGGTCTGTGGTGTGAATGTGCAGTGTACAGCATTTTACTGTGAGTGTGGTGTGGTCACATGGCATATCTTTCTCTTTCCTGGTACAGGGGATAGACAACAACAGCATCTGTGTGTGGGTGTGTGAAATCAATATCTTATGATATCCACAGCTAGGACCAGCAGGACATAAGGACTTCCCCCTGCAAGCATGTGGTTGTCTAGGGCTGGGGGAGAGCTGTGGTTACAAGATTCTAATTTTGTGTTATGCCATGCCTCCAGGGCATGGCAGCCATTTTGAGACTAGTGTCCACAGAACTTCTTCAAAACTGAAGAAGTTTTGGCTACAGTGCCAAAAAAGTTGGAGTCCCCCTGCATCCTGTGATTCAGTGAAGCAAAAAAATCTGATTTGGATTAGTCACCTTGAATTAACAGACTTCAGAACAAATTGCTGTATTGCTCACAAACAAGTCCTCAACACAGTATTTTAAACAAGCCGTGTATGTGAGAAAGAGCCAAATACCTCTACAAACAATTTTTATTATAAAATGCGAGGATAGAATACATACGGATGTCCTTGCTCGTTATGAAATCCAATATTATTAGTTTCCCATTTCTGCAGCCATTCTTCTTCAGTCACTACTCTGGATTCTTGTAACTTGGCATCAGCAGAGTCATCCTTTCCAAATGTATCTGAAGAACTTTCCATGGCACAAGCAACCTTTCTACAAAGAAAAATGAACAGCAACTACTTGTGAATCATTGACTGAACGTTCCAGCCTTCCCATTAAGCCAGGAACTTTGTACATGTTTACATGCTTCCCCACCCCTTGCTTAAGTTCATAAAATAAAGTTTATGGAATGTCTGTAAAATATTGCATTGCACAATCTGCAAAGAAGCATCATTTGTACCATATAACAATAGCTTCTCAAAGCACAGCCTGAGTCTTCTTCCTAGAATGTGCCTTTCGAAGCAAAATACATTGTTTGAAAGTCCTGCACAACGCTCTGAAGTCCTGACAAGTGGGGCTGATGTTTGTATGATGTCAGGTAACTGACAGGTGGTCTCTTGCATATGCAGGAAGTGAGTGGCACTATTTTGCTTCCAAGCAGACATTAGAAGTCGGGCGTCAGAAGGAACAATGGGGACTTGCAGCAAAATGTTGCATTACATCCCCAACAGCCTTATAGTGCTGTTTAGGGTTCATGGGAGGGTGACACACCTCCTTTTCTTCTTCCTCACCCTCCTGAAACCACCTCATTTCATTCAACTGGCAACTTCAACATTCCATGGCTCAACTGCCCTCACCCTTCCATAGGTCCTAGTAGTTCATTGAATATACAGTAAGTCCTTCTTGGACTATTTTTTGACATTAAAAAAAACCTGCTTGCTATTTGCAAATGTTATAAGAACTTTAAGGTCTTAAATATATAATAAATGTTCATAAACGTACCAACCAAGCACATACATAGATCAGCACAGGAAGACGGACCTAAAACCATTTTTGACTCCCAAACTGACCAAATGTTTTCTCTGCAAGGAGGGAGGGGGTCAGGGAACCTTCCCATTGTTACAGGAATTTAGTTTCAAAGGGTGACACACCACCAGGAAAGGCAATCAGATAAGGCATTATCAGATAACCCGACAAACAGGAAAAACAACAACGTTCAAATTTCTGTTGTAGACCGCCTTTTCTGTGATGTAGGTATGATGTTTGAGGGGGGTGGTCTTGGGTTACACCCCTTCTGTGATGTATGCATGATGTATGGAAGGGTGGTCTTTAGCTCCAGGTCAGGGAATTTAAAATGTCTATATGAGGGCAGGCACACCTTTGTTTGGGGTCCTCCTCCTTTCCTGCGTGTTGCAACACATCAATAAAGATCAGGCTTACCAGCTGCTTTGCTTCTCAATATTCTCTGGTTGGCCTCTGTTATTTTTTCCTACCAATAGGGAACCCATGTAAGGACTCTATATGGGCTCTTGGACACCCCATATGGGTAGAAGGGCAGATTTTGTTTACAACTGAAATAAGTCCCCCAAATTCAGAAATCACTACAGGGAGGTCCTGCTTCAGTTCTGAACTGATGCACACACAGGTGTAGCCAGAATTTATGCTGGGGGCAGGCTTTGTGTTGGGGGTGGTGGCAGAACCTCAGTTAGTAAAGTATTTTGCATTGATTTAACGTGATGGGTGGAGGCCCCTCCCTGACCCCCCTTGGCTATGATCATGTACACACATCCAACTTCATTATCAGAAGGAATGAGGGCGGTAGTGATAGTGACTGACTTGACTTGAAAGACTATAAACTCTTATCGCTGCCTTTGACGATGGACAACTGGATGAGCCCAGGGAAACTCTATGTCCCTAGGAAGTGGCAAGCACAGGTTCAATTATTGATAAGCATTACGCTGTCACAAGGCTGCACATGACATTTATCCATTTGGGGACTGGGGCAAAAGTAGAGTTTCTGGTGACCCCAAATAAAGGAGCTAACTCCTAAGGGCCGTGGAGCCTTTGGCCCCCCACAATAAAATATTTGAGGGGTCTGGGCCCCCACAGAGTTGATGGGCATTGCTATTCAAACGGCGCGTCATGTGATCGCTCATGCCGTGCGCGGCTGACCTAGGCCCCCACAATATTAAAGTTGGCAGTGGCACCCCTGACCCCCAAATAGCTTTTTTTTTTTTTAAAGGAAAATGCCACGAAATAAACTAAACCACATCCAAGTGCTGAGGGAAGAAGCAATGCCACGCTCAGGTGCGGAGGGTTTCTGCTTCACCATAAGACAACTGAGGGAGTTCTCCGGACAGAAAAACAACCACCACCATAATAATTTATTAAAAAATGAACCTTCACGAGGCAGGACGGCCCAGTCCAGGTGAGGGAGGGGCTTCGCCGGCTGCCGGGTTCACCGTCAGCAACCCTGGGAGAGCGACACCTGCTCGCGCCGCGGCCGCCTCCGTCTCTGCGCGCTCGCGCTCTTCTCTCCGCCTCTCCACGCGGCGCGGAAAGGAAACGGGAGCCTGGCTACATTGTCTCCTCCCCTCGCCCCACCCGCTCCGCGCTGAGGACAGCGGAAGCTGCAGCTGCAGCAGCAGCAGCAAGGGGAGGAGGTGGGGAAGGGACCGACGGGAGGAGCCGGACGCTGGTGAGCTCGGCTCGGGGGCTGGCTCTCCTTCGGCCGGGCAAGGAAGCGGACGGAGGCAGGGATTTCCTCGCCTGGGGAAAGGGGGGCGGTGCTGCTGCGTCGCTGCTCTGCTCTCCTGGCTCCGACCTGCTGCAGCAAGTGGATGGCAGCCCGGGCAACAAAAGGAGCGGCGCCGCCTCCGGTCTCTCGTCCCCCCGGGCACCGGGTCAGTCGATGCAAGGGCGAGTTGTTCCCCGCTCCTCCTCCTGGTGCGGGACTTGCATGTGTGAGCGTGCGTTGAGGGGTAGTAGGGCGAGGAGCGCTTCCTGGGGGGAGGGGGGGGGTCGCCCAGCGGGATCTGTAGGGAATCGGGGCAGGGTTTTATTTGTGGGGTGGGGATTTGCCCGTCCCACCCCACTCCACTAGCAGCAGCCAGTTTTCCGGGCTAGGGTGCACATTGGAGTAACAAAACAAGCCCGTGGGACGCGCGTCCGAGCCGATGGCAGAGTGGCTTCCCAGCGCCAGGGAGGAGGGAGGAGAGAAAGGCATGCTGAGCAAATGTGCACAACGACGAGGAAACCCTACGGAGCGCTCGCCTTTTTGTAGGAAGAGGGCCAGAGGGTATGATTTCAAGACGGGCTTGAGCCCCGCTACCTATTTGCTTTGTGGGTATTCCCACCAGGACCCTGAGTTCGTATCTTGGGGTCTGTTTGTTTGTGGGAGGCGCACGAAAGATGCCCGCTGCATAGGAAGGGGGTAGTTTGCAGCTTGTGCTAAGTCTTCCCTAACCTGGTGCCTCCAGATGTTTTAGAGCACAGCTCCAATAAACCTTCACCATTGGCCATCGTGACCGGGGCTGATGGAAGTTGCAGCCTCTGGAGGGCACCGGGTCAGGGAAAGTTGATCTACTGCCCAGCAATTATTACCTCCCTGTAGCACTTTAAAACCCCTGATAAGAAAAGGGGCTAACCCTGGATAGTGTAAGTAGTGTGTGCTTTTATTTTAAATGGTATTTTAACTGCTGAAAGGTAGGTTAGTAGTTGGGGAGGGGGGAGCCACAAACATAGTCAAAAGCTACAGCTAACCTCCAACCCATGAATTTCCAAATGCTAGGCCACACATTTGTAAATGACTTCTAGATGGCTGCACTCGTTTTATGGCTTTGGGGGAAGCTGTGGGGTGCTCTCGACGTTCATTTAGAACAGGGGTTCCATCTCCAGAGCTTTCAAGAGCCTTCTGCTTCAGAATTTGGATGTGCAAAATTCCAAATCTTGACTGTTAGGATCAGATGCAGTCTTTATCTTTTGTGTTACCACGATGACTGTATCCACTCTCTGCATTGTCAGCTTGGTGAATTAAATGGTACATCAGAAATGGGAAGTGCAGTACTTTCAAAATGTTAGTTACACATCGGAGGGTGGTTGTTGTTATTTTTGCCCTGAATTCCACTTGTGAGCCCAGTCAAGGTTGGATCCTGTGAACTCTCCAGCCTGCAGGTATCAAAATAGTTGCAGTAGAGCTTGTGGGAAGCTGCGTGCAACAAGTCAACACACTTCTGACAAAAGCCTCCACTTCCCACATAGATGGACTTGTATCAAGCTGATTGGGATACATGTGCATATTCCCCTGGCCTTCATTAGCCTTTAAGGGACCAAATACCTCATTGTGAAAAGTCCTGCTCCAGGGGGTAGTTTCTCTTACACCTTCCGTACAGAGAATTCAGAAGTTTTAGAAATAGACTCTTCCTGTGGAGACCATGTTGTTGTCTGAATCAGGAGGGTAGGATTCAGTGGCTAGAAAGATACCATTTTCTTACCATGTTTTCTCTTTTTCTATTATTACAGCTCTGTTTAGTTTGACATCTGAAAGCTGGGCGATTTGAGTCCAAGGTGAGCAGAAACCTACTCTTCCTGCGGTGGAAGTTACCCATAGTGAACATAATTATCTTTCTAGCATAATTGCAGCCCACATTCCTATCTGTAGCCTATGTGGGTTATTCTGGAGCTGGTAGCCTATACAGTGGTACCTCGTGTTATGTACTGTCCCCCTTGCGAATGCTTCGCTAATCCGGAAGTAGGTCTCCTTGTTGCAAACTTTGCCCCAGGATGGGAGCAGAAGTCATGCTCTGGCAGTGCACGCACAACGGGAAACACCATTAGCAAAAGCATGCCTCATGTTACGAGTGGTTTCCAGTTACGAACGGACCTCCAGAACCAATTAAGTTTGTAACCGGAGGTACCACTGTAGCTGCCCCTTGCAAGCGTGTACTGTGTATTAAATCCTAAATATTCTAAATAAATCTAAATTCGCTTTCAGGTGCACTGAATTGTGTCACTTCATTCCAGCAAGAGCTTAAAATACGGTCTTGATATTAGAGAGAAAAAGTTAATAAGTATGAATTCAAGGGCATGGAAATTTTGAAACGTTCTTAAAAGAGGCTCATATCTTCTATGTTAGTAGCGTTCTATTCCAGAGGTGTGCACAGGCCCCAAGATTTGCCTGGTATTTGTGCATCCTGAAAAATCAAATATGCTTCTGAGTTGTTCTGTGCACTCACCACTTCAGTCTGTAATTTGGGTTCTGACCTCTGTATAAAACAAAGCTTTGTGTTATATTCAATAGAATATAACTTTGCCCATTTTGGCCAAAGTGAAGTAAATTTTCAGGTACAGGATCACTTCTAGAGTGGACTAAGCCTTCCAAATTGCAGACAAGTGGGTCTGAGGCTTTTAGTGCAGGAAGTAAAAGGGATTCACTTTTTCCCAATCCATTATGGGGTAGAGAAGTGGGGTTTATCTCTTGATCTCTCTTGAAATAATTAATTTGTGGGTAAACATGGCATATTTTTGCCTGTACATTTTTTTAAAAGTCTGTGGCTTCACACATCTCTCTCTCTCTCTCTCTCTCTCTCTCTCTCTCTCTCTCTCTCTCTTCTTTCTTTCTTTCTGGTGATTGCTTGTGTCTGTGGAGTCCTGAAGAGTTCTGGCTGTGTTTTGCTGAATAAAAGCAACTTAGGAATAATATATATATTTATATACATAGATATAAACTGCACCAGCCAATCCTTTTTTAACAAAGCAAGAAACAAAAAAGCAATTCAGAACCCACCAGCGTTCCACAGGCAAAATTGTAGGGCAGCCTCACTTTTTGCAAAGTCCATGGATCTAGAGAAACACAGAGATATAGGAAAAGATAGAGCTATATGGGGTGGAAAAGCAGAGTGACATGAGGCTTTTGGGGAGCCTTGATCTGGCTTGGTGTTTATAGACATTGTGCTTCAACTTGGGAGGGGAGTTTATCTCATGATCTGGCCCCCACTTGGAGCCAGTGTACACCTCTATTGTTTGCCTGGTTATACATTAGACAACTCATGTCTAGTGGGAAGCCTCAGATCTCAGATGAAATGGTTATATATGTCCCTTATGCAGGATTTAGTTCTTGACACACATTGTCACACACTGGGGGGAGGGGGAATGTGTTTTTATTCATGTATATGCTGAATTTTGCCTTATATGCATGGGTTGGAGAGTTGTGTGTGCTTTTCAATAGCTAGTACCATGTGTCCAGAACCTTGTTTATCTCACTGGTAGGGCAAACCTCTTGGGTTAGTATGTTAATAGGTTAATAGTTGCAGTTGTTCTTAACTTAAAAGCAAAGCAAAACTAGTAAAACCTAAGGAGTTAAAATGTTTAACCAGAATAAGCAGAAGCAAAAAGAGAAGTGAAATGGAATCTCAATGTACATTGTTGTTTTAAAATCTGCTGTGATATTATGCTTATACTTTGTTTTTACATATGTAAATGGTTTCCCTAAATTTCAGTTTCATTTTCAATTTGAATATTTCTTTTCTTGAAAAGTCCTGCATTTCAAAATAAAAAATTATTGCTTTACCTTCTACGCTTTTCAAATGAGCCCTTCCTAGCACGTGAAACAAAAGTGCATTTTAATGGGTTTAAATGATCCACTATCCTATGAAATATACCATCAAACGTGTTAGTTGCTGCCTTTTGGAATGAAGAGATGTTTGCTCTTCCTGTTATCTGAAACCACCACTAACTCCACCCTGCAAGTATTAACAGCAGTTTAGTAAAGATGAGCAATTTAGGCAAGATGGCAATTGTCAGCAGATCTTGCATGCTTTATAGTTTTGACTGGTTTGCATCCCTTCATTTTCTGTGTGTGGGCAGGGCAGCTCCCAAGCTATTGACCCTTGTAACTTCTTTCTGGGAGTTTCATATCAAAATTGTTTATTCCCTCACCCATCCTCTTCTTTCTTTTCTGTTTGCTTCGCCTTACCTGCATTCATAGATGTAGCACAGCCTGTATTATGTTTTATTTATTTTGATTTGTATAAAATATTTTAATGTCATGCTCAAAGTGAGGAATGGAAGAGGGTCCCGTCTCCCCCAATATTTGATCTGTATGCTTGGAAATGTAAACAGCTTGTTCTCACTTCTCACCAGGACGGATAAGCAGCCGTGGGAAGGTGTGCTGAAACTGAGAGACAATTTGCTCACATATGTCTGCTGCAGCTGTGCTGTTAAGGTCCCAGAGCTACTGTTTTTACTATATAGTTCATTTGAACTATCAGAAGCATAGCTGAATCATGGCCTGAATTGTGCACAGTTCTGGGAGGGGCAGTTTGGCTAAGTTTCTCACAGTACATACCTATGCACATTTACACAGAAGTCAGCCTCTGTGTGTTCAGTGGGGCTTGCTCTGAGGTCAGCATGCATAGGATTGCAACCTTAAAACTGTAGGGTTGGAACCAGGGAAGCACATAGGGAAGGGGGCTGGTGGAAGATGACTTTCTCACCCATCCCAGTTTTGGGGGGTTGCTCTCAGCAACCCATGCTACAGACCATTCAGCAGGACCCCTCTGGGGTAGCATTCCAGTATGGGAGGCTGAGGGGATCCCTGAAAATCGCCTGGAGGCACTTTTGGTGAGTAGAGTGGAAGCTGCCTCTGATTGGGTTTTGGGGGTCCCCCCTTAGCTCTCCTGTATCACAACGCCGTCCTCTTCAGTAGCATCCCCTGAACCCCAGGGGAGATATTTTGGAGAACAAGAGGAATGCTTGGAAAGGAGACGGGGAGTCAATTTTCTTTGGCTCTAACCCAGGATTATTTACTTACTAAATTTATATCCTGCCCTTCCTCCCAAAAGAAGCCCAAGGAGGCAAACACACAAATGATAAAACTGTGAAAATCATCTAGAATATTAATGAGCTGTTCTCTCTTCCTCCTTTCCCTCCCTCCTTTCTTTCCTCTTTTTTGCCTCTTCTTCTCACGTCTACCATTTTGTCTAGTTCCTCCCTTTAATTTCCTTTGTCCAAGATCTGGAAATAGAGCTGGTTCAAACAGTGAAGCCACTAGTCTGCATGGGTGGTGCTGGAAGGTTTAACCAAAGGGAAACTTCAAGCTTGTTTATTTCTCCACCTCTCTTTGTGTGGGGAGACTCTCTGAACTCTAGTGTTGGAATACTGCCTAACGTCCTCCTGGTTTTTATCCTGCAGCGCCATGTCAACTGGGAGGGTCCGAACAAAGAAAAAAACACCTCCTGTTGACCATTCTCCCGATCATCTTCCTCTGAGAAGTTCAGGGAGACAGGTACCTTTCATCCATTTCATTCACAGGGTTGCAAGCAGGGTTGTGTATTATCTACTTAGGAAATGAAGAGTATTGCAGTCCTATGCATATTAGTCTGCAGTGTCCTGTTGATTTCACAGCCAGGCAGTGATCTTACTTACAAGTTGATGTGCATGACATTTCAGCCTTAATGTTGAATGCGCTGTTGAGTTTTTCCAAGCAAAATTGGGGCTCATCTTTGGTGCCATGTAATGGGCTGTTGTTTTGGACTCTTCCTTGTTTTGGACTGTTCTCTGTTCTCTGTGCGAAGCTAGTTATGACACTTCCTTGGTTTTTATTTTTTCTGCATTTCCATGTGAATGCAAGTTGCATGCAATATTGCTATCTTTTTGAAGGATTTCCCCACCATCCCCGGGTCTAGATTTATTTTGTACTGGAATACCTTTCTATCACGGATTGGAAATCCATGCCTCTCCAGAAGCTCAAGTTTCCATCAGTTCCAGCCAGCATGGCCTGTCGCTCAGAATTATGGGAGTTGTAGTTCAGCAACATCTGGAGGGCCAAAGGTGTTCCCCATCCTTGTTATGTAGGAAAACACAATCAGTGTAACTGTCCTCCAGCACTATTGTAACAGAAAGCCTCACCAATAAAGACTGCTGAATATATCATAAATCTGTTGTGACCTTTTTGTTCACATAGTTGTGTTCTTTTAGGTGAGGAGGAAAGCTGCAGAGGCAGCCGAGGATGATGAAGATACCTCAGAGAAGAAGTACAGAAAATGTGAAAAGGCAGGATGTACAGCAACATGTCCCGTTTGCTTTGCCAGTGCTGCTGAAAGGTTTGGGCTCCTCTGTCTTCCCCCTTCACAGTCCCAAGGTTTCAGAAAGTGATCTTCAGCTTGATAGATTTCATTTCTGGTTTGTCCGAGTGAATTCTTATGACTATTATTAATGGAGGGAAGTGGATGTACACTCCTAGGGGAAGGTACAATAAAAGCAGCTTAAAAAGTAGTTAGAAACCAACCAAACAAAAAATCCCAGATATATATTTTAAACCACATACAAAAGATACAAAACAGGCGGAGACCCATTCATCCTCCTGGGAAGTCTTGTTGGAACATTTTCCACCCCCATCATTCAGCCCAGACACTGAGGTCCAGCTCCGAGGGCCTTCTGGTAGTTCCCTCACTGCCAGATTACAGGGAACCAGGCAGAGGGCCTTCTTGGTGGTGGCGCCTGCCCTGTGGAACGCCCTCCCATCAGATGCCAAGGAAATCAAGGAAACAACTATCTGAAGTTGTTCAGACATCTGAAGGCAGCCCTGTTTAGGGAAGTTTTTAATGTTTGATGTTTTATTCTGTTTTTAATATGTTGGGAGCCGCATTATCATCATCATCATCATCATCATCATCATTATAAACTGCTAACGTGTGGCAGTCTACAGTATTTTCAAATTGCAGGACAAAGCGTATCCTTTCGATAAATGTAATCTTTTCTGATTTATTCTGTTTTAGGTGTGCTAAAAATGGCTACACATCAAGATGGTATCACCTCTCCTGTGGGGAACATTTCTGTAATGAATGTTTTGATCATTACTACCGAAGGTATTCTTTCTCTTTTTTGAAGTAATTGCTTTTTTTAAGGGGTGGGGACAGGATGCAACCAAAAGTGTGTTAATTCAATGGCAAAGCATTTTAATCTTGATCTGGTTAAAGAAATAAGATATGGAAGGTAATATACATAATTGCTGTGCTTTGCTACCCATTGTAATTTAATTTTGAAATGAGGCTGAAAACAACAGTGCTGCATTTATAAAGGCTATAAATTGCAGGGGTTTGAATTTATCAAGAAATGTCAATAATGTCTGGGGGATTGATACCCGCACAATAACCTAACAGCTTCCTTTTCAAAGCAACTCTGGGCAAAGGCAATGAATGCTTTAAAAGGCAGGGATGGGGGAGTGTATTCTTTTAAAAGGATATACAGTCGTGCCTTGGTTTTCAAATAGCTTAGTTCTTGAACGTTTTGGGTCCCAAACGCTGCAACCCCAGAAGTGACTGTTCTGGTTTGCAAATTATTTTTTGGAAGCCGAACATTCAACAGGGCTTCTGTGGCTTCTGATTGGCTGCAGGAGCTTCCTGCAGCCAATCAGAAGCCACACTTTGGTTTCTGAACGTTTAGGAAGTTTAACAGACTTCCGGAATGGATTCCGTTTGACTTCCAAGGTACGACTGTATTGGCTGTTTGTAGGAAGCTGGACCAGCTAAGTATCTACACTCTCAGGAGACTTTAATAGGCCTGTCTGTTGTGAACTGCTGAACATTTTGACAAAGTGCTCTCAGCTAGAAAATACGAAAGCAACATCAGTAGACTGGGCAAAAACGGTTTCTTGGAATACAGGCTGTCTGCTAAAGCCAGGTTGCACAGGGAGACCAAGTTTTGATGGAGGGAGGGAAACTATTCCAGCAGTGAAGCCATTGTATAGATTTGGGTATCCATAATAAGGACACCTAATTTATCAGATTAAACAAAATAAAAATCATGCACAATATTGCTTTGAAGTTGAGCTTTGCAACTTCTATGCTTCCTTAGGAAAACAAATACTGTGGCCAGGATCATGTTGTCTTAATACCTATTTCTTTCTCTAGGCATTCCATGTTTGGGATGAACTGTCTATTAAAATATACCAAACCATGTGTAGGCGATTCCTTCCCTCTACTTAACATTTCCTTTGTCCCTCCTTTTAGTCATAAAGATGGCTACGAAAAATACACTGCCTGGAAAAGGATTTGGACCAGTAATGGAAAAAGTGAACCCAGCCCGAAGGCTTTTATGGCTGATCAACAGCTCCCTTACTGGGTAAGGACTTTATTTATGATGACATAACACTGTGAAAGTAGTGCATGTTCATTTTTTATTTCCCTTCGCAGTAAGTGTGTTTGAAGGAAGTGTTAAGCAATGGATTTTATTATTGTTGTTATTTTTTCAACCTTGGGGTTGAAAGTGAAAATAATATGAAGGAAGCATACAATATTTGGCGGCAGGCCACATGTCTTGTGTATGCAGAATGTACAGTGGTACCTCGGGTTACATACGCTTCAGGTTACAGACACTTCAGGTTACAGACTCCACTAACCCAAAAATAGTAACTCAGGTTAAGAACTTTGCTTCAGGATGAGAACGGAAATCACGTGGCGGCAGCAGCGGGAGGCCCCATTAGCTAAAGTGGTGCTTCAGGTTAAGAACAGACCTCCGGAACAAATTAAGTACTTAACCTGAGGTACCATTGTACCAGGTTCAAACCCTGGCATCTCCAGGTGAGGCTGCGAAAATCATCTGTCTGAAATTCTGGAAAGTTGCTACCAGGAGACGACACTGAGCTAGCACATGAAAGAAACAAACCATACCTGGTTTAGCATTATGCCTAAACCAGGGATTTTCACTTATTTCACTCCAAACAGACCACAGAGAAAAGCAAAGGTTTTTCTGGCTTACTGATTGTGATATGTTTGGAGCAAAGTGACCTCTAGTCTGGATGTAACTTTAAGCCAGAGATTGTGGTTCATTTCTCCCCAGTACTGGTAGGATGGACTGAAGCAGTCATGATCAGGTATAGATGAAGAAATATAGGTTATATGCTGATTATTAGAAAAGAAGGGGTTTTTGATTGGTTGTGGAGCTAACAGAACCTCAAAATGATTATCCTTCTTTCCTGAGATGGGAGTGGATCATGGGGTTCCAAGAACAGTTAGGATTTCAGTTAGGGCAGTTGGAAGCTACAGGCTGAGGAGAGAGAATCAGAAAGGTGAGGGGAGTACTTGCTTAATAACCTATATGAATGTAAGATCTGTGCCTTGCAGTTTAGGGAAGAAAGGCTTTCATAAATTAGAAGGCAACGTTTTGTCTACAGGCTGATCATCCCAACAGTTAGCTTTTCACTTCCTGCTGGATGAGCTGCCATGCAGTCCCCCCTTTTGGGGGAATCAGTTGGTTCTGATTTACCTCTCCTGAGAAAGGAAGGGTAGGTCAGCTCAAAATGCACACTCATACGAAGTTGGTGGGGGAAATGTAGGCACGCTTGCATGTCTGCTGCTTAAGAAAGTCTTCCTGAAATTTTGAGAGACCTGTCTCTGATTTTATTAGTGTGCCTTTGTTTCTGGATGTACTGAGCAACTTTGTCGTTTTATCTCTAGGTTCAGTGTACAAAGCCAGTGTGTGGAAAATGGCGTCAGCTGACAAAGGAAATCCAGCTTACCTGGCAAATAGCCAAAACATACCGCTGTGGCATGAAACTGAACAATTCCACCAAGGTACCTTCAACCCTCAAATGTACTGAAAATGCAGGTTGGTTTGGTTGTTTCTAGAGGCCGACGGGAGCCCCAGGCTTAGAACAATTGTGCAATGTTTGTCTGGAGACACCCTTGTACTGCTGCAGTACACACAAAAGATTTACATGCATTTAAAACTTTATTTAAGGTAGATAAGGACAAGATGAAATTATACAATTGAATATAAACATAGATGGGAAACGGCTATGTATTGTGAGTACTTATCTACTTTTAAAAATTTTCACCTATGATCTTTTTCTCTTACTTCTTTATTCTTTCTTTGTTCTTTGTTCTTTTTTCTGATATCTTATCTTTCATTTCACTGCTTTATTGTGAATAGCATTTTATAGAGGTATAAATAACTGCAAATATGAAAAGAGACAAAATATTATCTATTTTTTTCCCCTTGGTTAGATGTATTTTCTTTTTCTTTTGTATTTTCTTTTGTTGTGAATATGTATGTTGTCTAATTTGTACTTAATAAAAATATTTTAAAAAGAAAGAAAAAACTCTGTGAGGGTGGCACCAGAAAACTGGCAGGTGGGTGGAAAAGCTTGACACCTTCTTCCCTGGCCACTTTTCCACTCCACCCCTTCCCAAAGCTGCCTTTCTCTTGGGGTTTTTAAAACATGCCATTGAGTGGAATGTGTAGTTTGGCCCTAAGTGTCATGGCTTTTATTAACAGAAGTCCTGCCATTTCTTCAGTCTTCCTCTTACATGCAAGTCAGAGAAGCTACCCTGTTGTCTGAAAGTGTTGTATTTGTTTCAGGTGGAAGGCCCTGACCATTGCTCCATGCCTGAAGATCTGGTAAGCAATGTTTTAGGAAAGTCCTGCATGTGGCATCAGAATGAATTGTAACTGTGAGAAACACAGAGGTGCAGGCTTAGTAGTAAATACTATTTGGGTAACATTCTGACTTTGGAACTGGAGACTTTAAGAAAGAGCCTAGCTGTTGCTTAAGGAAAAGGCCAAGACATCTCATGCTATTCAGCTTATTAGTAGGGTGTTTGTGTGATTAGAATTATTGTACTGTGTTTAAACTGTGAGGAGCACCTGTATGTTATTTCTTTTTTTAAAAGGGCAAAACAGAAAAGCTCTACCTTGATAGTTGCCCTTGCAAAATCTCAACTCTCAGACCTACTGCTGTTTTGTTAGATTGTTAGCAGCTTTGAGACTCCTTAGGGTAGTGATAAAGCGGGATATCAAATCCAAACTCCTCTTCTTCTACTGCTGTTTTGTTAGTGCAAATCACCTCAAAGTGATGGATGGTTGAGAGCCACATCACCTAGTCCCAATTAGAGTAAGCTACATTGCTATGGGAAAGGCATTTTCTGACCAATTAGAGTAAGCTACATTCTGACCAATTAGAGTAAGCTACATTGCTATGGGAAAGGCATTTTCATATAGAAGCTTCCCTACACTCCTGGTAGAGCACTCAGAAATGGCCTGTGTCTTTTAAGTGTCATTGGGACTGAGAGATAATATGATAACAAAAGCTTTAATTCTTCTTCCTGACTCTTTCCTCCACTCCTTCGTAGAGAGTTGCTGAAGTTTCAGATCACTGGTGGTATTCCATGCTCATCCTTCCACCTCTGCTGAAGGACAGTGTGGCTGCTCCTTTGCTGTCTGCATACTACCCAGACTGTGTGGGCATGAGCCCCTCTTGTACCAGTACTCACCGGTTGGTTGGTGAATCCAATGCAATAAAAATGGAGCACTTAAAGACTCCACCTACTATAGCTGGTAAGCGACGAGTACTTTTCTGCCTTCTTCTAGTAGCTATTGATAGCCTTATTTTCCATGGTACGAGAGTACTTTTTCTATATTAACGTGAATTAGAATGTCTTGTCTTCTCAAGAATGAGACTGACCACCAACCATGTATACTTTGTAATATTTGTGTCGTTTATATTTGTGAGCATGCAGTATAAGCATATTCTTCCTGTAAGCAACACTTTGGTGCATATCCTCAAGGTCCACTAAGGAGTTTTGGGCAGAGAGGAGATCTGTAAGCACCATAAGTAATTGTTGTAAGCAGAACCCACGGTTCTTATGATCCCTTCCTTGCCCAGAATTATCCTAGTATATGTTGCAGGCACCTGTAATCGAGTTCACATTTGTTTACATGCCCTAGAGCTTTGTGCCTTTTTATTAAGCTACCGTGATGGTTCACGGAGATGCTACATGCAGCTCATTCCGTGTTGTATGTTGCCTTCCAGGGATGAACAAGTACTTCCAGCCTTTCTACCAGCCCAACGAATGTGGTAAAGCACTGTGTGTGAGACCAGATGTAATGGAACTAGATGAACTCTATGAGTTTCCAGAATATTCACGAGACCCCACCATGTATCTAGCTCTGAGGAACCTCATTTTGGCTCTGTGGTACACAAACTGCAAAGTAAGCATGGCTGAATGTTTGCCCCCAAAAGATTATCATCTCACTTTTAAAATCTATCAACCTAAACTTCCCTTGTCCTGGTTTCCTTCTCCCACTTGCTCCATAGACAAGGCCTTTTCAGTCATTATGGTTTTTGCTTTTCAGTGGGGGAGGACCCCAACAACCCATCCCATTTCAGTCCTGCTGGCCCTGCAGCAACTGGGATTTTTTAGAGCAGGGATGGGGAACCTGTGGCTCTCCAGATGTTGGGCACCTATCTGTCCAAGCCAGTATGGCCAATGGTCAGTGATGATGGGAGTGGTGGTCCAGCAACATCTGGTGGGCCACAGGTTCCTCATCCCTGCTCTAGAAGTCCTGCTGCAGCGGGAGGGTGGAACTCTGCTCATGGTAAGACAAAAGGCTGCAGTGACTGACCAGGCCGTGCCTTTGGAGCAGATGAAATAAAACATCACAAGAAACCCTCCATCTGCTGAGGAAAACAAGGCTTCATGGTGAGGCCTGTGTTCCTTTCGTCCCTCCTTAAGTACGCCTTCACAATGTGATCCAGATTCCCAGGTGTGCAGATGGGGCTTTTCCATACAAAGCTGCCCTGCTTCATGCTTTTCAGTACACAGGTACATGACTGGAAGTTTACTTGGATGGTTGTCACTTTGTTGATCTGGGAGATGTAAATTAGCTGTTGAGCTTCACCATCAGAAGGACAGTGTGCTATATTGTTCCAGCAGCAGTCAAATTCTTGCCTCTCCTCCTTTCCCTCAATCCTTCAATGCACAGGAAGCCCTAACCCCTCAGAAATGTACGCATCACATCATTGTTCGAGGCCTTGTGCGCATTCGCTGTGTGCGGGAGACGGAGCGAATACTTCATTTTATGACCAGGAAAGGTCTGATTAACACAGGGGTCTTGTCAGTTAATCCTGACCAACCTCTTCTGCCCAAAGACTACCATAATGTAAGTATTTTAAAATACAGAGTACTAATAAACTGGTTCTAGGAGTTTCTGATGGGACAAGGAGGGTGAAAGGAGAAAGGACTCCTTTTAAGGGTAAAAAGTGAAAGAGGGTTTGGCCTTCTAGGACCTCTTGGTCAGTGTCAAAGCTCTTCTTCAGGGGCTCATGGCTTCTCAAGAACTGTCAAAATCGGCACAGACAAAATGGTCTGCTGTCGTTCAGCTCAGGCTAGGATACTTTCTCTTCACTGTCCTCATTTTTGGTTGATATTGTAGCACTTGCTCAGCTTCTCCTAATGAAACCCTTCAGCAGGAACAGAATTTTATCTGAACAATGTTTCAAATTGTTCTGAGTGAGACTTACTTAGAAAAAACAGTCTTGCTAGTCTCAAAAGAATGCTAACATCACTAGTTTACTTTTCTTCTTCATTTAAGAAATCTGTCATTGTGGTTGGGGCTGGTCCTGCTGGATTAGCAGCTGCAAGGCAGCTTCAGAACTTTGGAATCAAGGTGAGACCTTTTCAAATAAAGTATAGATTTCAACATTTCTGTCTCCTCCTCTTCTGGCAGATCTACACTTTGCTGCTGCTACCTGAGTAAGAATAAGAAGGGGCCTGTTCTCAGAGTCCAGATGTCCTGGGAAAGTGCCTTAGTTTGTGTCAAGGCTGAGCTTGAAATAATTATGAGGCTAGGGTTTGTTGCATGATTTGTTGCAGCTTATACAGTATTTGGGCATGGAGAATGGTAGGCATAGCTCGTCTGCTCACGGTATCCACCTTTTAAGGAGGAACTTAATGTCTTCACTTGGTAGATGGATTTTCTGCCTCTGAGGTTTAGGATTCACCAATTAAAAACTTGGTGAACTCCTAGCATAATGTTCTATTATTGATTGACCACCTTGGCATTATTTGGTTAACTGTGGAAAGATTTTTGTTCCATAGCAGTGTTCCTTATCACCACTGCTCCTTTTGTATGTTGCAGGTTCTTGTGCTAGAAGCGAAGGACAGAATTGGGGGCCGCGTGTGGGACGATAAGACTTTCAAAGGGATCACTGTGGGAAAAGGGCCACAGATAGTGAATGGCTGTGTCAACAATCCAGTAGCGCTAATGTGTGAGCAAGTGGGTTTGCATTTTTATTCATGAAAACATTGTCCTTCTGAAGCTTATGGATTAATATACACTGATCCTTGTAAAGTTAACTTTCTTATTAGAGAGTTTTTTCAGGCAGCTCAGAATCCACATCCCACTCAAGCTACAGGTGTATTGGGTCACTTTGGGAAAGTAGCTGTTCTTCAGCTTTGTTTTACTATTTGTGAAAGAGATACATTAAAGGTCTAATTGTAGGCTTGTAAAGAGGAATGAGATAATGAAAGGTGGTTACCATCCTTAGGAGCAGGAAGTTCTACAAATAACATTTGAAAACTTTGCTAAGTGTTTCAGTCAGGCTTTCTGTTCATACATTTTTCTTCTTCTCTCACATGATACTTTGATTTAAGTAATACAATGAGTTACCTCCATATTTAGGGAAGCTAGCAATTTGCTGTAAAGAAAAGAATAATAGTCTTTTCAAGTGATAGTCCACTTACTACTTAGAATGGTGATTCTTCAGAGTTGGTGCTTACTATAATAAATGAAATAATTCTGATTCCTATAATATAAAACCCTCACTGAAGATGTTTAGCTTTTATTGGTTGGTGTTGACATCAATGAAAATTGCGGTCCTTTGGGAGGGATAGAAATTTAACAAATAAACAATAAAAATTAAGGTTTGCATCACATGACAGTAACTGATTATCTACTTCCCCCACGTTCAAAATCCCTGTCTTTTTAAAGCTGGGCATTAAAATGCATAAAATTGGAGAGAAGTGTGATCTGATCCAGGAAGGTGGAAGAATAACTGACCCTACTATAGACAAGCGCATGGACTTCCATTTCAATTCTATCCTTGATGTTGTAGCAGACTGGAGAAAAGACAAAAATCAGCATCAGGATATTCCTCTTGGAGGTAAGTAGAAACAATGAAGAGCCACACGACACATAGTGCAATGGGGATAAAGGAGCACCTGTAGAAGTCGTCTCAGATATTTGTGCCAGTTCAGCTTTCAGTTCTTGTATTTTGTTGCATTTGAATGACCTTTGACAGATGATTGTGGGCTGCTCAGAGCAATTTCATTAGGCCCAGGGGGCAAACAGGATTTCCTGGGCCTAGTACCCTGTATGTCGCTATTGGCAATGACTGTTCTTCTGTTACTAATATGAACAGTTATTTTTAATACATGGAAATGATTTAATAAGCATTTATTTAACAGATTTTTAACCTGCCTTTCTGAGTTCCTGCCCTCACAAGGCGTTTTGCAGCAATTGCAAATAGTTCAAATACCATAATTATATAACAGATAATTATGCAGTAAGTTTAGAACATTTATGTAACGTTAACAGACAGCAGCAGCAACTCAAATGGGGGAAATAGCTTTACGTCCTTTATGAACAATATCTCCCTGAAGAACAATAGCCAAGTGACAGCAGTAGATGTAGTGACATCATAAAGTGAATAAATTACTTGGAATACATTTTCCTCAGTCCCTGTTTTATTAATATGCAAACTAATTGATATTTTTAAAACTCCTACAACCAACCAACTTGGATTTCTTTAACCAAGTGACAGTCCCAGAAGAGATTATCCCAAATTGCACACAATTAGCAACATGCAGGAAATATTTCTGAGTATAGAATCTGGGAGAGTTGTAAAGAGTGTGCTGAGCCGTGAAAATAAAGTGTCTTGCTGTGGCCTAGCAGTGGTGAAGTTAATAGGCTGGTTTGCAGTCACTTTAAACCATAGTTGTGAATGAATGTGCAATGTGCTGGTGCACAGAATGAAAATCATTGCTGCTTAGCATTATTCCCGCTGCTGCTGCTGCATTGCTGGCAGCTAATTTGACCAAGCATTTTGTCCAGATACTCGTGGTTTCTCTCTCTCTAAACAAACAATGAACTGTAACCAAGGTTTGTCCTCTACTTACCATTTAAGTTTTGTTGAGGAGGAAACAAACCATGAGCCTAGGTTCAGATGCTAATGTTAAGCCAAACCATGGCTTAGCTTCCAGCAGTTCAGCAGAAACAGGGGAGGAATGAAGCAGTCATGTTTTTCCTCCGTGCCCCATCACCCTTTAAATCACCGTGATGTGCAAACCAGGCCGGTGTATGAGTATGTTTGCTGGTAGCCCACATGTTTGTGAGAAAAGTGCTGCCCGACAATTAAGGAAGGACAAGGACTTTAAAGTGCTATCAGTTTCAGTGGAAAATACGTTAAGCATGCATTCAACTCTATTTTGAAATAGTTGTCACTTAAAAGTGTGGAACTTCATGCCCATAATATTTATATTTTGACGGGAGCAGCGGGAACTATTCTGGTAGAGCTTCATTTTAAAATTTAACAAGAACACTTAAAAGTAGGGTGAAATTGTAAGGAAAAAATGATTATTTATTGATAACGATTGGATATATTATTTGCAGATAAAATCCAGGAGATCTATAAAGTTTTTATTCAGGAATCTGGTATTCAGTTCAGTGATCTCGAGGAAAAAGTCCTTCAGTTCCATGTCAGTAACCTTGAATACGCCTGTGGCAGCAACCTCCATGAGGTGAGCATGGGATGGACTTGTGTGACACTCAGGTGTTGAGTGTTCAAACTGTTCAGTGAAAAGAATTCTGTTCTCCTTACAGGTTTCTGCACGCTCCTGGGACCACAATGAATTTTTTGCTCAGTTTGCTGGAGATCACGCGCTCTTAAACTCGGGATACTCAACAATAATTGAAAAAATGGCTGAAGGCCTGGACATTCGGTTAAAGGTTCCAGTAAGTAACAAAAAATGGACGAGAAGCCAGTTTGCTTTGATGTACCTTGGAGTAGTTAATCTTCCTAGTGTTTGGCTTGGTTCTCTTTGTCTTGGAACATACAGATGGTACTTAACCGCTTGAATTTTCCAAAGTTATTTCCAGTGGTGTCTTATGTATTAATCTGCTTTGGAACATATGAATGTTTCTTCTTATTGCTTATGCCTTCACTCTAGAACATTTTCCACATTCAGCATACTCAGTGTGTATTACAATATATCTATTGGATTTTATTATCTCAGGTAGTCAGAGAGAGATTTGCCAAAGATGACTGTATGAACTAGGTAGGATTTAGAATGCAGGAGCAAAACTTTAGAATCCATAATGCATAAAAGCAATGGAGTGAGTTTCAGCAATGGGGTGCTCAGATTCCCACCAGTACATAAAAAACTCTAGTGGAACATCACTTGCATCATTCTCCTGATTGATCCTTCACATAATGCATTTACTCATGAGCAGTTAGCTTAACACTCCTTCCCCCATGTCTTTCATTGAGAACTCTTCTGCTATGAAGCTTACGCTAATGTCTTAGTGTTATGGATGATATTCAACATTGTGCAGGTGAAATTGCCCTTCCTGTTCTTCCACATGCACCCCCATCTCCTCATCTGCTCCAAAGGGTCCATCTTCAGAGCTGATTTGAGGAAAACGCAGGGGCTGTAGGTGGAAGGAGAGGCAGTCCTTTTGTATAAGCAGAAGTCTGTTCCACTTGTAGATGAGGCACCACCATAGACAAATACAGTGGTACCTCGGGTTAAGAACTTAATTCGTTGTGAAGGTCTGTTCTTAACCTGAGGTACCACTTTAGCTAATTGGGCCTCCCACTGCCACTACACCGCTGCCATGCAATTTCTCTTCTCATCCTGTAGCAAAGTTCTTAACCTGAGGTACTATTTCTGGGTTAGCAGAGTCTGTAACCTGAAGCTTCTGTAACCCGAGGTACCACTGTATGTCTTTCACAACTCTGAATCCCCTTCTTCTTGTCAGGTTCGCAGTATAGACTATACGGGGGAAGAAGTCCAAGTGACTGCAACCGATGGAACTCTCTGGAAAGCACAAAAGGTGACGTGTCTCATCTTTCTCCACTTCTGCTATATATTTTCAAACATCACAGTAAAGACCACATCTTGTTCAAAGTGTTGTGTATAACTGGCTTTTTAAGGACTTGATCCCTCATGTTAAGGGGTAGCTTTCGCTGCAGCAGCTAAACAAGGGGTGGAAGTGAAGTGAGTTTCTCAACTTATCAAGCAGGTCAGAGCTATTTATTGTGTTTCACAAGCATACCTGCTTCCCGCATCCTTACAGCTGTAATGTGAATTCTTGACACATCTTTACACTTGTGCTAAGTAGCCGGTTGTGGGCCAAGTGCTGGGCAGGCGGTGAAAAGTGTGGGGCAAAGTATCAAAGTGTCTTAAAAGCATGAAACTGAGGTTTTTAGTACCTACCTGGTGCCAAACCTTCCCAACCTGCCTGTGTTATGTTGAGCTACTTCAACTGTAGTATAATTAGGACTACTTTTCTCCCACCAGGTTTTAGTTGCTGTACCTCTGACTATTCTTCAAAAAGGCGCCATTCTGTTTAACCCAGCCTTGTCAGAGAGAAAAATGAAAGCTATCAATAGTTTGGGAGCTGGAGTCATTGAGAAGGTAAGAGTGCAACTTTTATATGACGATGTGAAGAGCAGTATGAGTGGCATTTGGTTTGTACCCTATCAGATTTGCTTTCCATAATCGGATCTGCTCAGAAATAATGAGATGACAAAGCATGGGTACATAGCAGTCCTTCATAAATTGAAATAAATAATCTTCAGGGTTTGTGATGGGTAACCAAAGTCTGCCTGTCCACCAGCTCTTGCAAAACAGATTAAAATTATGCCCCATTAAAACTGAAAATTTCCTCCATTTTGCCAATTTGAATCTCAGGTTTTCCATCACCCAACTCCTCATAGAAAGAAATGCAACTTAATTTTGTTTCCTGTGATTTGCACAGACTATCTTGACCAGAGTCCACCTACTATTAGTTTACAACAATCAGTAATAGCCCAATCCTATTTATGTGCAATTGCAATTATATCCTACTAGGTTCACTGAGGCCTACTTCCAAGTAAGCGTGCATAGAATTTCAGCCCAAATCAACAATGAGGTCATTCTTGTCTTTTTTCCTCTAGATTGCACTACAGTTTCCATATAGATTCTGGGACAGCAAGATTCAAGGAGCTGATTACTTTGGCCATGTTCCACCTAGTTCCAGCAAACGTGGACTCTTCAGTGTTTTCTATGACATGGATCCACAGGTACACATTGCCTGAAGACTTAACACTGACCCTAATTGTTCTTCAAATAAGGAAACATGATGAGCTTTAAAATCACTTCTCTTCCCCTACCACCCTAGGAATTCGCCACCATTTCATAGTGCGATTAGTTTAAGATATATTTCTGGCAACTTTATCGTTTTTTAAAAAAAACAATTGCTCATTACAAGACAGAAGCTTTGAAAAGTGATGTGATACACTCAGTCAAGGAGAAACCTAAAAGGTGCCAGGAATCTTTCTTGTTCTATGGGTTGGCTAACATTAGTTTCAGAGAGGCTGTTAGAGAGTCATTTAGCAGAACTACAGTAGATAAAATTTAAGTGTTCATGTTTGTGTCTTGTTCTCAGCGTAAATGCAGTGTTCTAATGTCTGTTGTTACGGGTGATGCTGTGGCAACTATGAAGAACTTAGATGACAAGCAAGTGCTGCAACAATGCATGATTGTGCTCCGCGAGCTGTTTAAGGAACAGGTAGGTCTGTTTGTTTTTATTGACTCAAGCATAGATGAGACACCAGTTTCAAGTCTTTCACACTTAACTGAATTTATTAATAGTTGTAAATGGCTCTGATAGGGACGCGGGTGGCGCTGTGGGTAAAACCTCAGCGATTAGGACTTGCCGATCGCATGGTCGGCGGTTCAAATCCCCACAGCGGGGTGCGCTCCCATCGTTCGGTCCCAGCGCCTGCCAACCTAGCAGTTCAAAAGCACCCCCGGGGTGCAAGTAGATAAATAGGGACCGCTTACCAGCGGGAAGGTAAACGGCGTTTCCGTGTGCGGCTCTGGCTCGCCAGAGTAGCTTTGTCACGCTGGCCACGTGACCCGGAAATGTCTGCGGACAGCGCTGGCTCCTGGCCTCTAGAGTGAGATGAGTGCACAACCCTAGAGTCTGGCAAGACTGGCCCGTACGGGCAGGGGTACCTTTACCTTTTAAATGGCTCTGATATTTGCATTATATGGATATATTTATTAACTAATAAATATAATGTATAATAATTATAGTATATAACAGATAGCAACAAAAAGAGATTAATGATGCGACTAAGCGTATTGTCAAACTAAGTCATAGGAGTAAAGCAACTGAAATAGACTTTGTAAATGACTGTACTTGGTATACGACTAACATTGGATATCACTCTAAATGTCATTAAATAAATCCAGATTTATGTATTCTAAACAAGAAATAAATATTAAATAGGATGAAAGAAATGAAACAGCAGCTTGCTGAATTTTCAATAGTTTGCCTGGGAACCATGTTTGTTGTGGCTTCCATAAACGGAAACATGCTTAATTCTGCATCAGACCACTGGTGCATATAGAAGCAGTTTTAGAATAGAATCACAGATTTGGAAGGTACCCTGAGGGTCATCTAGTCCAACCCCCTGCAATGCAGGAATCTTTTGCCCAACATGAGGCTCAAACCCATGTGCCTGAGTTTAAGAGTCCAATGAACTGAGCTTTCAGATAGGAGTTTTTCCCCAGTCTCTGGAGAAGCCAGGAATTGAACTCAGGACCTGTTGCATGCAAATTCATGCCACAGGACTCTACATGAGGATCTACAAAACTGACTACTTAAAAAAGGAGAGAAAACTGTCCTGACATGTTTCACATGGCTAGGCCCCCTAACCAACACTTTGATTCTCTAGCTGTTTATAATGGGACTGTCCATTGACTTTAACAGAACAACTTCAGAGCATGTGACCAGTCACTTAGAGCATCTGTGTGTGTTGACCTGGTGAATATATGTGTTCACAGATGGGCTGTATGCATTTCATAAGTAATTCTTTGCCTATTGTTGTAATCCAGGAAGTGCCAGACCCAGTCAAGTACTTTGTTACACGATGGAACAAAGATCCTTGGATCCAAATGGCATATAGTTTTGTGAAGACAGGGGGCAGTGGTGAAGCTTATGACATCCTAGCAGAAGACATCCAAGGAAAAATATTTTTTGCTGGAGAGGTGAGATCTTCATTATGTACACTAAAAAAATTGAATTAAAATTCTTCTAAAATAAGATACAAGCTAAAATAGGATGGAATGTATTCAGGGGTATGTTCAACTTAGGTTCTATTCAGAATAGACCCACTGAAATTAATAAGCCTAAATTAACCGTGCTTACTTCAATGAATCTACACTGAGTAGGACTAGTGCTGGCTACAATCCACAGTCTCTGAGGAAGCATTGTAGAAAACCAGTGAAATCCAGTTACTAGTGTGCTGATCTGACTTCAGATCCTTTAAGAATATAAACAGCTGTTAGACTGGTTGTTCCGTCATCTGAGTGGCAGCAACTCTTCAGAAAAAAAACCTATGTAGGGGATTATACCTAGGACTATTATTACACAGAGAGAGAGAGAGAGCGCGCGCCATATCAATCTCACTTCAGGCCTTGGTTGTGGGGTTGAAACTGGTTTTGTTGTGCTGCTGCTGACATTCACCATGATATTCCTGTTACTTCTCCTGGAACTCTTGAGGTGCAGGATACTACATACAGTGGTAGTATGTGACTGGGCAAAATAATAATCTGTTACGAAAATTCCCCAACATGGAAAAAAACATCATCATGGGTCGTGATTTATTTTTAAGGTATAGATACGTAGACTATTTCACATGTATCCTTGGTAAAATATTGACACTTCCTGTGTGGGTTTATACCAGGCTTCCTCAACTTCTGACCTCCAGATATTTTTTGGCCTACAACTCCCATGATCCCTAGCTAGCAGGACCAGTGATCAGGGATGATGGGAATTGTAGTCTCAAAACATCTGGTGGGTCAAGGGTGAGGAAGCCTGGTTTATACGTATTATGTGTCTGATGAGTGCAGTTCTATGTTCATATAAGAATCCCTCACATTATGTTTCTCTTTTTAAATAGGCCACAAACAGACATTTTCCGCAGACAGTTACTGGAGCTTACTTGAGCGGTGTTCGAGAAGCAAGCAAAATAGCAGCATCTTGAATACTACACTACTGTTTACAGATTTTCTTTTAACAACTTCCTCAAATTCAAAATTCAAGTTTCAGGGTTACTATTATTGCTCAAGTGGTGCTTAATTCTTTGGTACCTAGAGACAATCCTTTTTTCTTCCACTTTTTTCATCTTTTCCATGATGTTGATGTTTTATCAGCACAGCATGCTAAAGGAACTGTTATTTAAAAACACTACCAGCAGATATTCAAGCTCATTAACCTCTGAACTTCATTTTTGTGACCTATTTGAGATAGATGATTTATATTGTCAAAGGGTGAAATGTCAAAGGGTAAACATGTGCTGCAAGGACTGTTAAATAACCCACGTTTTCAGATAGTGGGTCAACAAGATGGCAGGTGACTCCAATCATGTTTTGAAAAATGTATTCTTTTTAAACTAAATTGTTGGAAGTGTTCACAAACAATCATTGGGCTTGCTGGTGATTTTTTTTTTAATGAAAGAAGATATATAAAACCAACCCTAACCATTAATTACCCAGAGGAAATGTCACAAAAGCATCTCTTAATGTGTATACTAGGATGAGGGCTTAGTATTTGCTGATCATGTAGATGGACCAGAAAAAAATGTTCGTTTTGTGGCCATTTCCTTTTTGTGTGCAGTGAAATTTCTAAATCATAGCAGCTGTATAGGTGCAGTCATTTATATAATTGTGAAAGCATGTTGAAGGTCAGGTAGTTGAGCGAACCATTCAATTTTCTTGCTTAGAAATGAGGTCAAATGATTACTTTTTATGAAGGGTTAAAATTATGTAGCCTCATTTTAATGGGAAAGATTAAAGTAGACTCTGAAATCAGTGAGACTTGAAAATGCTTAATGAGGCTGGGTTGTACCCATAGTTGTGAAAAAGATGATTTAACTAAATAATTCAGTTTTAAGTAGTTGAAGATACTAATGTATACACATAGTTCATTCATCAGCTAACTTTTGCTTTTCATTATCAAAAAATAAGAGTGAGAATTTCAATATGGAAGCATGGGCAGTTTTACTTTCTAAAGAAAGCCTCAGAAGATGTGTGATTACTACCCCTGTGTGTTTTGCTATAATGATGATATATGGCCCTGAATATCTTACTTTGTAACATCATATTGAGAAAGATTTAAAAGTTATGCTGTTAGGAAATCATCAAGCTTTTCTTTATAGTTGAACTGCTATTATTTCACTAAGCTGCTTAATAGGAAGTATAACTCTCTGAGAGCTTATAGTAAGAAATGTAAAGTATGAAAATGGAATGCTGATTTCCCCCCATCATTTACTCTTCTTTTCAAACACTGAAAACGTGAATACCTAGCTAAAATAAGCCAATTGGCCTTAGCTAGATGCACCAACAAAATTAGTTTTAGATGTTGTCTGAAGTGCAATTTTTATTTAAAAATGGAAACTTGTGCTTGGGAATAGTTGAAGGCGTGAGTTTGAGCAGAGATATTAGTCATGACTGTAAGGATTTTGTAGTAATCAGCATTAAGACAAGATGAAGAGTCATACTGTAAATGTGAAACCATTTACTGTATAAATACCTGTAAATTATTACATTACAGAAGTGTTTAAACAGCAGGACCTGTTGCCCATAAAAAGAAAAAGCTTAGTTAAGATATGGAAACTACTTTTTTTTACATTTATTTAAAAATGTCAGAGTTGGTGGGTTCACTTTGAACAATTGATCCCAAAGAATTAAAAAATAATCATGTGAAGCTTATTTTTTAAGCATGGTCATTTTCTATTGTGTATATACAACTTATGCCTTGTACATCTAGGGGGAAAAATCTCCTTGCTGTGGAGCATGATGTTCAAAGTGACTTATTGGTAATGTAATAAACTGGAAAATGCTAAGTCAGTTGTGCAGCTAATTTCTAATCAAATAGTAAAGGCAAACTACCCATGTACTTAAAATGCATTTTATATGGATTTATAACTCATCCCTTCCTGGAAAATGCAGAGGATGTCAATCTCAAAACAATTACTTCAGTTATTAACTAGGATGACAAATGTCTACTCCACTGCTCCTTTCAAAGCAATAGTATTCTGCTAGAGGGAACAGACTTTAGGGCCAACCACATTTCCTGGAACAGGTGAAGATTCCATGTCAGATGGCAGCAATATTCCTCAGCAAAGTTCACTTCCTTCCAATCTGATGGAAGAAGGTGGCAATAATTCTGAAATTGCCTTCCACACTTGTTCCCAGCCTAGCAGGCCATCACTTCCGGCCCACTGGGCCTTAAATACCATGCAATCACATCCATTGCCACAGCTCATCTGCCACTTCTGGGGGTTGGCAGCGATGAGCATGTGTGTGACTGTGCGTCAATCGGACACACATAAAACGGTCACTGTCTGAATAATAATCCAGACATACATCTGCTCAAGGTTAAGTAAGGGTTTGGTGTGTTCACACCTCTAGCACAGATTACGCCTCAACATTTGAGTTTGGAATACTCTTGTATCTTTTAGCAAGGTGATACACAACAGGCACCTTTGTTTCTGTATCATTTTTTTTACTGTACATATATTAAAATATAAAAATATACATTTTTCTTAAAGACATTTATTGAATACAAAACTTAGTTACACTCAGCCTTAATATAAAGGATCACATGCAAAGAAAGCAGTAAAAATGATAGATTGATCAGCTTACTAGTTGCCGACTAGTTTCAGAACATAGGACTGTGACTTTTGACTCCTGAACAATACATTAGCAGAACTTATAATCAATACAGTAATGGAGGGGGCTAGTTACATTTCACATTATGACACATACTTGTTTGGCATTTATTGAGAGCTTTAAGTCATGATCATGTGTGCACATTAACAAAAAGTTTCATGAAACTTTTCATTAAATAAAACTTCATGAACAATTGTCTGCAAAACTGAGGTTTTAAATTTCAAAGCTTACACTGAATCAAAGCAGCAGGTGTCTATTAATACATTTAAACACCTATTCATTTTTCAATATAACCTAATTTTGGATACAGACACAGGAAACCTGTCCAGTGGATACCACAAAGATCATGAAGTTATTCCTTACCATAAGGGAGCTTGATTTTATAGGGATTCTAGAACAGCTGAACACCAAAAATTGCATATGAACTTAGCTCACATACCTTCAGAGAAGATTCTTATACTTACTGCAATTCTCAAAGCTGTTTTGGTTCTTCCTATGTATTTATTTCAGTATGTAGGCTCAATAGAACTGTTGGGAAATGTACTTCAAAGTGAAGGCTACACCTTTACCTGCCTCCCACTTGACATCAGTTATGTGTGGGGCTGGGCAAGTGGGCATAATTTGGAAGCAGTTCCCTGCTGGGCCTAATTAGACCCACAGGGTAGAGGTTTGTCACCCTTTGGTGTAGGGTATCATGTCAAGCCTTTGGAACAAAATTAGCTGTAGTCCACTCTAGCAAGTTAAACACTGAAAAATATGAGTGCAATTATTCCCTTATAAGGCAAGAAACACCATCTTTTTAAATGCTAGTTAAACTTGTTTCCTAATTAATTTCAGCCTCATTCCTGAACACTGACACTGGTCATAAATCTTCTAAAACACACTGATTTTTTTAAAAAAAAACCAACAACCTGTTTTTAAGCATATATATACAAACAGAATGCTTTTAAAAGTACAAAAATAACAATCTGCAAGTTACTATGCTCTTCACAATTCTCAGATATCTTACACATGCAAGATAGTATAACATAATTTAGAGCATTCATGATCAGGACATGTGACTTCTTCCTGACTGAATGGTATGTATTCAAATTAAAAGTAATGCCCAATACTGCAGTATTTGACAGTCTTAGCATGTGTACATACAGATACAACAGTTTTCGTATCAACTGATTTTTAAAAAATTCTCTACATTACAATGCACTAAAACCTACAATAGCTATATTAAATCTGCTTGTACAAAGAAATTCCATGATGTACAAAGTAAAAGCAGGGAACATTGATGGCCATGCAAAAACCTAAGAACTGCATTAAATGCAATTTTTAAAAGTTAAAGTAATTTCCATTAACACTCAGAACATTAAGCCAGTAGAATCATCCCTGACTAAATACTATGTTATGCCCACCCAAAAGGGTGAAACAAAACAAAAATTAAAAAAAGCTTTTGCTGGTGTTTGTAAAATATTTAAATCCACGGGAACAAGTCTGCAGCATTCGTTTTCTTCCCATTAGATCATGAAATGAGCTAAAAAGAGAAGAGTTTGTGTACTTTTAATCTTTAACCTACTTTGTAAATCCCACTTCCCACAAACACATTGCTAAGGCTGCCATTTTAACAGCTTGCTTGGAAGGAAGTTCCAGGGGAATTGATGGGACTTACTTCCAAGTAAATATGGCTAAGGATGGACTACAGGCCTTTAAGGGTACACTGTGAAACGTTAGATAAGGGGGACTATCTTAAAGTTACTTTAAATTTACTGAGTTGAAACTAAGCATAATAAATGAGTAAAATTTGGGTGGAATTTCAGGAACTGAGATCTTCCTAGGTACCCAACATTTCCAAATTTAAAGAGCAGCTTTTAATATTTGGATCATCACATGATATTTCATGGATCAAGTATTTACCTCTTTCACAGTCTTTTTGATGAAGACTTTTCTGTCAGACAAGTCATAACTGGGATAGCTTTCATACACCTGCAACAACCGATTTAACACAAAGGTAAGTCAAATAGTACATTCCGAACATTCTCCCAATGACTAAGGGTCAAACTGGTTGTACCACAAACAGTATCTCATTAGTTTTTTAAATACATTGAGAGCAGGCATGAAAGGTATGAATCTGGATTGGGACTATTGCATTTGGGGAGGCTGCTTTTTAAAGACTCATTAAAATTGTTCCCTTCCCCAGTTTGCACCACAGAAGTCAAATATTCAAAGCATAGTTAACCATATCCTTTATATGTCATGTCTGACTCCACTCCACTTTTCCAACATAACATAAAAACATACTTACTTGCAAATATTTCTATTCTCTAACCTGACTCTCACCATGCATGTAGAAGTGTCTAATACACCTTTTGCAATTTAAATGTGAGTACCAGAATGGAGAGATTGCTTGTTTATTAAATTGAAGCATCTCCCTTGCCTTTGATATTGCAAGGGAGGTATAAAAGGTAGATAGACGTCCAAATAGACGTTTTTGTGTCAAAATTAGGACTGAGAAGACCCAGAGTCAGTTCTCTGGTCCATCTTGAAGAACCCTTAGATCACTCACAGTTTTTCAGTCTAACCTTCACAGTTTTTTTGCAAGGACAGACTAGGGATTGTTTATTGCCCTGCCCTGAGCCCCTTGGAGGCAAAGCAGGATCTGGAGAAACTAGGGGGTGACATGGGACCTATGCTAGTTATCTTTCAGGAGTTAACCTAGATATATTTTACTATGTTTAGTATAATTATACCATACTGTGATAATGGGATTATGACTGCCCCCCAAGGAAAATATACAGCATAAACTGAGTTCACTTGTCTTTTCCTGCACCAACAAGAAGCATAAGAATTTATGAAATGTCCATGCATTTTTACATTTGACTCTAAAGGTTTCTAACTGTAAACTAGTGATGGGGGGGGGTAGACAAATCTTCACCGCTTCATCTTTCTTCAGATAATTAACAATGTGAAAGTAGCAATTAATGGATACCAACTGCAAATCAACATTAGGCAAGGTTGGCAGTTTTGTGTCTATATAAAATGCAGTACAGTGGTACCTCGGGTTAAGAACTTAATTCGTTCTGGAGGTCCGTTCTTAACCTGAAGCACCACTTTAGCTAATGGGGCCTCCTGCTGCCGCTGTGCCACTGCCACACAATTTCTGTTCTCATCCTGAAGCCAAGTTCTTAACCCGAGGTACTATTTCTGGGTTAGCGGAGTCTGTAACCTGAAGCATCTGTAACCCGAGGTACCACTGTACAAGGAAAACTAACATGGTAAATGAGATCACTCCCCAGGTATCTCCAATTTACTCTCCCCCAGACCACATCTTCCTCCAGTTCTTTTGAATATGTCCTTGAAATGTTATAATGTCCCTTGCTTGCCTGGATCAAGATATATGAGCAGAAACCTTTGAATTTTGTTTGGACAGACTGTACCCTACCCTACTGTACAAATATAAAATTAGATCTATTGCACCATCCACCACTGGCAAGTGGCCCCCAAAAGGTTCCCCACTCGGAATATGGCCCTTATGCTGAAAAAGGTTCCCCATTCCTGCTTTTAGGGCCATGGGGAATTTTCCAAATTTCCCTAATTTGCAAAGGAAAACTTTCCAGAAAAACCCACATTACTGCTGTAATCTGCAAGCAAAACAACGAAAGTGGAAAACATGTCATAAATCTGTACCTCTTTACAAATTTGTTTCATTGTAACTTCCTCTAGGTTTGCATTGGCCAGGAGCTTCTTCACTGTTTCTTTCAGCTCTTCATCTGTAGGTGGCTTTTTCAACTTTTTAATTAAAGGCTCATCATCCGAACTATCCTCTGACTCACTTTCTAAATGTAAAGATATTTTTCAATTAAAATGTGGATAATGATTTCTTTCCAATTAAACATTTTCACCTGGACAGAAAAACTGAATGACTTAGTTGTGTTCAAGCACCTTTGAACTTGGGCTTTTCAAATGGCAGCTGCCAAGACCAGCTAGCAAACCTCTTTGGAAATGGAGAGAAGTTTCAAAAACAATATATGGGGTTGTGGTTTCCCTTCTCTCTGCTCACGTCCCAGCATATCCCCAATTTGTTACCTTTGATCTCCCAACTCTACCTACCAGTAAAGGTCTCCTGCTCCCTCAAAACCATTGGCCATTTCCCCGTTGCTGCCACCTAATTCCTCCCTGGGGTCCCT